ACACGTCTGTGTGTGCGTGCCTGTGTGTGGTATGGTGTGTGTGTCGAGGGAGGGACCGGGAGGTGAGCTGTGCTCTGGGCTGGAGCTATACTCGGGTGGTAGAGTGTGAGTGGGGCAGCCCGGTACTGTTGAACCCTGCGGCAAAGGTGTTGTAGGGGTGCAAAGTCTGCACCAGGGAGTTGGGAATCATAGTGATGGTGTTGGGGGTCATGAGTGGGATGTCATCAGGTGAGCGCCGCAGGGTCAGGGTATAGTCGGGCAGTGCAGTGAGGCGCAGTGTGTCGTGGGGGGGACCAGCCTCACACTCGTGGTGAGTGGGGCCCAGCTGTAAAGCTGCCAGCTCCTCCTCAGGAGCAGCTCCCAATTCAGGGGCCCCAGCTCCCCTCTGGGGGCTAGGCTGCCGCAGGGGTTCCTGGCGTCGTTTGTCCTTGCGATAGTAGAGGGCAGCAAAGGCCAGAACATTGAGGAACAAGAGGGAGGCCCCCACAGCGATGGTGACACTTAATTCAGTGGAGTAGTCACGCGGGTTCTCCACCAGGAGAGGCCCTGCATCCTGGTCCCCGTTCCAGGACCCCTGGGCATTCTCGTTGCTGTGGGCAGGGGAGATGGCTGGCCGCTTGGTGCTCCAGGTCTTGCCGTTGGGCCTGCGGGTGATATGGGAGCTGTGGGTGGTATCTGGGGGCGGCACTTTGGTGGTCGTGGATGTGTAGTGGAACATGTCGTGCAAGTTGTACAGGTGGGGCACCAGGTGTTTCCAAAAGGCCACTTTAGTGGCTCGGTAATGATCGCGGACCCTTGGTTTCAGCCCGATGTGAAGGTAGAGCTGGTCCCGGGGATTGTACTTGGACCAGGCTACTTCTTCAAAGCGGTTGGCCTTCGTGTGAATGAACTTGGTGTCCTGGGGAACTGGCTTGTTAGGATCCCTGAAATACCACATGGAAATCTGGGGTCACCACTCTACCTGGATAAAAGAAAGGCCCAGCTACTTTCCTCTCACACCTACCCCTACAAACCTATTCCTGAGTCCAAAAATTCCCACCATTTCCCTATTTTTCAGGGTTCCTCCCTTTGTCCACGGCCCCTTTTCCCCCGGGGTTGGAATTCCTAGTCCCACTATGGACATCATGGAAAGCACACCCTTCTTCTCTATGCTTATCCACTAGGATCAGGCTATTGATGCTTTCTCTCCTCCCATGCTGAGCATCTATCAATCTTTTTTTTTTCTTGTAGTGGGGTTTGAACCCAGTTCCTACACACTGAGTGACTTTTTATTTTTTATTTTGAGACAGGGTCTTGCTAAGTTTCTGAATTATCCAGGCTGAGCTGGAACTTGTGCTCTTCCTGCCTCCGGCTTCCAGCATGCCAGGATTATGGACAGGAGCCTCCACACCCAGATACATCTATCAATCTTTTCAGCTGCCCAGTTTTGCAAAGAGCCCTCTAGAGACTGTTTCTGAAATGTATTTTATTCCTATTTCACTTAGCCTTTGACCAGCTAACCTTGAGTTCCACAATTCTGTCAGTAACTCATACCCTTACTGAGTCCTGATGCTAAGGGAGTTATTTGCTTCAACACAGTTTTTCTTTAGTGGTGCTGAGAATGTGACCCAGGGCCTTGGGCATGTTAAGCAAGTGCTCTACCATTGAGTTACCACCTCTGCTTCCAAGCCCTTCAACACCGACAAAAGTTTTATGGTACTGAGAATTGAATTCAGGGCATTTGCTGTTAACTACATCTGCATTCTTTTTTTTTTTTCGTACCAGGGCTCGAACTCAGAACTCAGGTCCTCACGCTTGTAAGGCAGGCGGCAGAACCACTGAGCTAAATCCCTGGCCCTGAATCCCTTTTTTATACTGTTAAATTTTGAGACAAAGTCTCACTAAGTCACTAAGTTGCTCAGGCTGGGCTTGAATTTGTGATTCTCCTACCTCAGCTTTCCAGAATGCTAGGATTACAGGAGTGTGCCACCATGCCCGGCTCGACAAAATTTTGGAAGGAAATGGCATAAAATCTCAAAAAGAGGAGGCAGGGAGGGGAGTGAAGGGATTAACCAGCAATATTTGGGGAATACTGTGGGAAGGAAGAAGTTAGATAGGGGAGTGGAGGGGAGGACATGCTGGGGTCCCGATGAAGAAAAGAAACCCATTTGCTCCTTACCCAGTCTTGGCAAAGTTGGTCCAATAGGTCATGACAACAGCGCTGAGCATAACATCATTCTTGGAGAAGTTGCAGGGGAAAAGGTCAGTGGGACCTACCATAGGGACACCAAAAACATAGGGTACTTCATCCCCATGAGCTGCATCTGACCAGGCAGGCTTCATGAGACTCTGGCAGTGATGGTAGAAGGCGTAGAAATAAGTAGGTGAACCATAGCGGGCATGTAGATCAGCTGTCACCACTGAGGGCTCCACCCACTGGTGGTCTGTGAAGAGTGCCACTAGTGTTTTACGGCGGGTTTCAGGGTTGTCACGGTCTGCCCAGTCTGTGTACATGAACTTGATAGTTTCTCGCAGGGTGTCTTTACCCTCCGGATAGCCATACAAATTGTCCACAAAGTTAGAGACAGAATAGTCAAAATCGGTGCCAGAGACACCATCCTCAGGGTCTACCACCCCTTCCACAAACTTGAGACCCTCACCCTGGTTGACACCTAGCATGATGTCATAGTTGAGGAACTCGCCCTGTTCCATGAGGATCTCAGGGTCGTCAGGAATGACATCACCATCGATCACAGGCCCAAAAGCCACGTGGTAGCGGGCTGGCTGGATGTCCTGCTCTACCAGTTCCTTGGCACTCTTTTGCCGAAGACAGTCCACCATATCCACAGTATCCAGCACGTTACAGCCCACTTTGTCTGCCAGAAGGCTGGTGTACTTTACTGGTTGGTAGTTCACAGCCCAGCTGGACAGAGCAGAGCCACTCTGGATGATGGCCCTCTGGAAAAGCCCTACAGAAGATAGGTGGCATCAGGTCAGATCTGTCATGTGACATAGGCCGTTACACACCTTATTCCTTTGTCACAGAGGCTGCCCTAAGATTTGAATAGTCTAGGAAGGAGGAAGGAGTCTTCTGACAGGATGACAGGTTAGGACCAGAGAAGGGATTGCTGACCCCCATCCCTGACTAAGCCTCTGCCTGATTCCTCCATTGCCTGCCTGTCCTGGTGTAATGGCTGGTAACTTGGGGGTTAAGGAAATGCCAGGGAAAATTAACCTCTTGGGTCCCAGACATCAGCTTCCTTATCCTCCCCTCTCTTTATCCTCCTCCTCTTGCTTCCTGCCCAGCTGGGCCCAGCTCTGTGCCAGCGCACCACCAGGGAGCTGGCACTCACACCACAAAGGGGTCTTTTTTTTATGAGAAATGAGAAAGGCAGGCAGGGGAGAGCCTCAAATTCTGGGGGTTTCAGGAAGGATCCCAAGGGCAAAGGCCTTGAGGTGTGAAAGCCTGGGCACGTGCCCCCTCAGTCTGTAGTCTCAGCAGAGGCTTTCCTTTTGCTGAAGCTACTGATGCTTCACATCCAGATTTTCCCCTGGCCAAGAGGGAATCAGTCTCCCGGACTCAGAAAGAAGATGATTCTTCCCCCTCTAGGGGGGGAAAAAGGGTGTCATTCTCTCCCTAGCCCGGCATTTCCAAGGAATTTTGGAAATTTGGCCTCAGGCACATGATTCCATTGCTCTAAGAGAAAGGCAGTTTGCATAGGTAGTAGAGAGAGAACACAGATTACTACTGAAGAGAGAGCTTCATTTTTCCAGAGATTATTCTCTATGAGAGAATTTCAGAAAGGCAAAGAGAACAAATCTTTATTTCTCTCTCTTTTCTTTCTTTTTCTGTGTGGTGCTAGGAATCAAAACCAGAATCTTGTGCGTGCCAGTCAAGTCCTCTACCACTGACCTATGTGCCCCAGTCCCCTCTCTCTTTATAGATGCAGATCTTAATCTTCCCTCACCAGAGCAGTCTCTGGAGGAGTAGAGAGAAGTTCTAAGTCAGAGAAGGTGACTCTTCTCTCTCAGAGAGAGACATGTCTTCTTCAAAGACAGGCTGCAAGTCTTCCTGTGAGAATATCACTGACTCATGGGGTTGACTTCAAAGAAAAAAATGTGTCCTCTCTCATAGATTTCCTTACTTCAGAAACAGGCACAGATTTCGGGGAGATCTTTTCTTCATGAGAAGCTCAGCTTTGCATCTCAGAGATAGAATGTTCTCTATAGTTTTGAGATGGAGAGAATAATCCCAGTCAAGTGAAAAAGGGCCCATTCAGCCCCTTGGAAGGATCACTGGCAGAGGGACCCACCACCAAGAGAGAGGCTAAAAAACGAGTCTCCCTTGGGGGTGTTGTACAGCACAGAACAGACTGTAGAAGAAGCCCATCTCACAGTCCAGGGATTCTCACTTCAGAATCATTTCCTGCTCAAGAACATTCCTCCTCTTGTACAGACTTGTTCTTCAGAGACAAAGGCAGACAATGAGTGTTTCTTACACCTAAAAACTAATTTCCACCTTAGATCTTAACTCTGAAGTAACATGACCTTCTCATACTAAAAGATTTCCCCTGCCCACAAAGAACGATTGTTCCTTCAGAGAGAGAGGCACACGATGTGCGGTGTCCCAAACCAGTGATGGAGAACCTTCTAGAGCTTTCAATGATAACAAACAGCCGACTGTAGCATGTGTGCCATAGGTTCGCCACCACTGGTCCCAAATAAAGCTGCCATGTCAGAAGGAGTACCTTGCTCTCTCTGGATGTACATGGGATTCTCTCCTTCCCTCTCTCACATTAGAAGTGCTGCTTCCCCCAGAGAACCACTTGCTTTCCATCTCTCCCTGGGGGGATGGGGGTGGAACTGATTCCCCTGGTTGCTCTTAGGGCATGGAGTTGGGCATCCTGGAATTTGGAAGGCCGGAGAGGCAGCATTTGGCTAGTCCATGTTTTGCCCCAAAGCTACTCACCCTCAGAGTGATGTGACAGTGTGAGGAGGCTGACACAGGATGCGCCGATGCCTGAGCCAAAGACAGTAATACGGCGAGGGTCTCCTCCAAAGAAGGCAATATTCTCACTCACCCAGCGGAGGGCCTGGATTTGGTCAAGGAGTCCATAGTTTCCTTTGGCAGCCTGATCTCCAGTGCTCAGGAAACCTAGATTCAACAAAGGGCATGTGGATAGTGAAGGCAGAAGGATGAAGGGTTTGGGTTAGGATGATAGGCAGGAGTTTTCTTTGTTTCTTTCTTTTTTTTTTTTTTAGACACGGTCTCATTTTGTAGTTCAGGCTGGCTTTGAACTCACTATGTACCCCAGGCAGCCTCACACTCATGGCAATCCTCCTGCCTCAGCCTCCCTAGTACTAGGATTACAGGGATTACAGGCTTGCACCACTATACCTAGCAGGATAGCCATGGGCCACACAGCTCTTCCCACCTTGCTAACATAAACCACTGATCCTTTCTGTGAGGTCCAGCACCACTAAAATAGGCAGGGATGGCTTCCTGCCTCCCACTCATCACCCAGTTTGGAAGGGGAGATCTCCAGATCATTACAAGTGGCTGCCTCCTCCAGGGAGGAGAGTCAAACTGCAGAAACTGCAAATGGTCATAACTTAACATCCTGTGCTCTGACATACTACTATCCAGGGACATGATCTTAACATTTGTGGAAAGAGAAGGGATTTAAAAGTCAGAAAGTCCTTGGCTAGAATCATGGCTCTGTCACATTCTAGCCTCGTGGTCTTGGACAAGGTATTCAAAATCTCTGGGTCATAGTTTCCTCTTCTGCAAAATAGGGATAAAAATATCTCATACTGTTTTAGCAAGGATAAAATGAGCACACACCCAGCAGATTGTAGCTCTACAGTCACTTATTTCTCCTTCCTTCTCTCTCTGAAGTGAAGATTCATCCCCAAAGGCAGCAATCCTCTAAGCTCTCTTTGCCTTTCCTGTACAAATTCATCGATCTCCACGTTTCTGGACCTTGGACGGCCCTTTTACACCCATTCTCAGAGGGGGTCCTCATTTCCTTTCCTCCAAAGCCTAATGAATCAGAAACTCTGGGGGTGGAGCCCGGCAATCTGTATTTTTAACGCGCTTTCCAGGTAATGCTGGTGTTTGCAAAAGTTGAGAAGCCAGTGGGCTAGACCATCTTTTTCAACTGGTGGAAAAATGAGGAAGTCAGGGCTGAGTGTAACCATGTAACCTCAGTAACAGGTTTTCCTGCCCACCCACAGGGATTTGCTGCTGAGGAGATGTGTCACCATGGAGACTACCTCCCACCCACCTGCTGGGATTTGCTGCCTTGGAGACTTGTTGTCATGGAGACTACCTTCCCGCCCACCTGCTGGCTATCCCACAGAGATGTCCTATACCCCTCCCCATTTTAGACTGATCCTCCTGCCTTATTTCATCTCTCTTCTCTGTCCTTAGCTTCCTTGGAAGGTTATATCTTCTCCTAGGCTAGGCTTTTGGAAGAGTTCTTTACTGGTGGGTAACTGCAGTGCTCCTACACATTGGAAACCAACATTTGGGTCAGTATTTATTGACTCCACAGTTGAAAGGCTCATTCACAGTACCTGGAATCAACTTGGAGTGAGGTCATATTGGAGAAGTTGTCCTCAGCTCACAGAGAGCTTCCTGGTGGTCTGGCAGTACATTGGCAAGGACAGAATTTAGACTCAAGCAGGCAAAGGACCTCATCACTGTCTTTCTTGAATCCTTTTCTACCTAGCTTCTGCAGAAGAGCTCGTCCTACCTTCTTTAACTATGTCATTAATTTAGCTTTGATACAATTAAGTGTGGGAAGTACTTAGCTATTCCTCCTAAGACCTAGTCACAAGTTCTCCCTGGCTCTGGATTCCAGATGAGGAAAGGAGGAAAAATTAGGGAAAACCTGAACGAGAGTGAACCAAGGAGCTTTTGTTACTCCAGACAAAGGAACCAGCTTCTCCTCCACCTGGCCCATTCAGAAACTGAACCTGCTGCTGCCAGTCTTAACTATGCTGACCAAGACCCAGTTCAGCTGCCCAAGCCTTGAGACCCTCTGGTAAAAATCGTGATGCATGTCTGTTAGTTTTCTTTTCTCCTCTTTCCCTCCCTCTTTTCATATTCTCTTTTCCTTTTCTCTCATAGAAGACTTGCCTTCAGTCTTTGCCAAGGCTCCAGTGGAATGTGTCAAATATGTCTGTCCTAATTCCCAGGAAAAGCATGCAGTTGTATGTAGTAGGTTTCTTCACCATGAACTTGGACCATGTCCTGGGTTAGGAACAAAAGCCCTTCCTACTCCCTGTAGTCCTGGGAGCCTCCAGAGAAGGGGCACCGAAGCATGTGGACGGTGCCATGCCAGTGAGCCCTAATACAAGAGTCCTGCCTCAAGCACTGTATCCAACAGGCTCGGGAAGATAACTGCAGTGAAACATGACCGACCTGGAGCACACGAAACACGGTGGTCTGGGAGAGCAGTCACTGGTATCTCAGCCATCCCTGGAAACTATTTGAGAAGCGAGGCTGGAATATCCAACTCTGTCAACTGTCAGAATAAATCTGAACCAGTCTCCCTGGGCCCAAGTTTATACTGCAGTACATGGTAAGCTGCTTGTCAAGGGAAGATGAGGGAATCTGGCAGATTATATCAAAACCAGATATTTGTGTCATTCAAGGTTTGATGTTTACCAGGTTTTCAGTTTGCCTGGAGGTTATCTGAGGAAGGAGGTAGGCTCAAATTAATTCTGGAATCTGGAATAAAACTTGGCAAGCCCCTACTTCTTTAGCCTCAGGAATATCCACATCCTATATCCTGCTGAAATCATTTTCTTTTGTTGGCCCCAAGCCCAGTGGGGGCTTCTCAGTCCCCAGCTCAAAGGGGATCCATGAATTAGCCTGCGATATTCTCAACATACTTGAATCAGCCAAGATGTCTAGAGAAGCACCTTTGAGAGAAATGTTTGTTTGGGCTCAGGAGAAGCTGGGAAAGAGGGAGGGTAAATGGATGTATGTGATTGGGGTTCCATATTGGTACCAATCCTGGCATGCTTTGGGAAACAAAACAATAAAGCCTCCACTACACAGCAAAATCCCCAAGTGTCAGGGACAAATCATGTTCTACATCTCGTGCCGAGAGACAAAAACATCTTGCATGTGCCTAGAATGCAATCATTGGCTTATTGATTATATTTGTGTTTCAGACCAGGAACTTCAGGGCACACAGGAAATGATGGGGAACTTCTGTCCAAATCTCAATTCTGAATGCGGGATAATATTAACTGGCTCATAAGCCCAAAGTGTAATTTGCTGTTCTGATTATTTCCATGTGAGGAGATTGTAAAGTGGGATTTTTTAGCCTGAGTTTCATGGGTGAGCTTCAGGGAGACACGTGAAATAATTTCTATAAGTATGGGAATGCATTATTGAGAGTCTATAGCTTTCACCAGAATCTCTGAAGAGTCCATGACCCCCCAGAAGGTTAAGAACTTCTCACAGAGAGGCTTAAGGAATCCAGCAGCCAAAGGGTTGTGGAGTAATCATCAAGTAGGATACCACATGGATTGCTTGCCAGCACTAGCTTCTGTGCAGCCCACAGCTCTCAACTGATACTCTGGAGGCCTTGAATCCTAGTGAAATCCTGTCTCTTCTTAAATCCTATGTGTCTGTTCTTCCTCCTCTCTGTTTCATTTTTCCCATGTTGTGCCCATCCTCTTTTCTCTCCCAGGTTCTTTTCTTCTCTTCTTTATTTGCTCCTCTTGTCCTCTCACCTATTCTGTCTTTTCCTCCATTCCCAGTTGGTCTGCTAATATGGGGCTGAAACACATTGTTAGTATTCTCTGTGCATTCCAATAAATCTGATAGGATGGAGCTGTGTGTTTATAATTTGTAAAAGCAGTTGAATGGATATTTTCTATCACTCTAAGAAAAGAAATTAGCAAAATTGCTTTCAACCATCAAATATCATGAGTCTCTGCGTATCTGTATGTGATTTAGTCTGTACATTTATCACTGTTTAGGAATTGTGCAGCCCTACTATACACATTTACAGCCGCCTTCATGATGTCATGCCATTCAGCTCCCTTTCTCATCAGGAAAGAACTTACAAGAGGTTTTCCACAGTTATCTGAGGCAATGCAGGGAGACAGGAGCACGGACAGAACTATGAGATTCAAAGTTCACCAGACTGTGGAGAGGCCAAAAAGTGCCCTGTACTCCACACCTGGTGTCCTAGGAGCCACCAAAGGAGACACAAACTCCGCTTTTTTCAGGGAATATAATTTTTTCAGCCCAAACCTCAAATAGTATTTTCCTATCACACATAGTAATAAGGGTAAATCAACAGCAGATCACCATTCCGTGCATACAACCACATCCAGAAGTGAAATGTAGCACCAGGGCCTCTGCGATTGGAACTGGCACAGCAAGAGTCAAGAGTAAATTAAAATAAGATCTTTCCCCCTAAGTGGCTGTGGAATAAACCAGGCTTAATAGCCACCAGGCCCGTAAACAGCCTAGACCCCACTAGAACTCTGAGGACACACACCCTCTAGATAAGCAGGGGGCTTCTTCATGCAAGTACAGGGATGTGGAGCTTGGGTAAACACATGAAAGAGCACTTGTTTACCTCAAAACCTTGGCCGCAATAAAGCACTGGTGGTCATCAAGGAAGGTACAGGGTAGAGGGACAGCCTGAATCACTCTAACAAGCATGTGCATAGTAGAGTATGTGGGGGGAAGCGTGTATGGGAGTATCTGAAAAAAAAATTAGAAGCCAGGAGTGGTGGTGCATGCCTAAAACCTTAGCACTCCGGAGGCTGAAGCAGGAGGATCATGAATTCAAAGCTAGCCTGGGGCACATAGCAAGTTCAAAGCTAGCTTGGACTATGTAGTGAGACCCTGTCTTAAAAACAAACAAAGCATTTGGGAAGTGTGTATGCACAGGAGTACGTATATATAATGATAATGAGGTGGGAATGAATGGGGATACATGTGTGGAGGGAAAAGGAATGCGCACATGTATATATGGGGTGCGCAAATATAGGAGGGTAGGAGGGGCATGGGCGCATGCATGCGAGGCGCACACACACACGTGTGTGTGTTAGATGTTCTAGGTACATGGGTGTGTATGTGGGAGGAGGATGTGTATGCACACATGTATGTGTGCATGCATGTAGGGCCTATGGATGTTTATATGTGGGGGAAAATATAATTGTAGTGGATGGGATGATTGCAGAAGTGGAAGTAGAAACGTGGTGTTATGTGTGGAGTATCTGTGATATGGGGGGATCACATAGACATGGGTAAGGGTGTATGCATGTGGAGCAGACTATTGGTTTGTGCTTACATGAGGAAGGTGAGGGTCAGATGTGTATATATGTGCACCATGTGGGTGTGCGGAGTAAAAACAGAAGTGGGATGTGTAGGAGGATATGAGTGTGTGCATGTTGGTGGTGGAAGGAATATCTGTGTGCACTTAAAGTATATGCGGGCCGGGGATTTAGCTCAGCGGTTCCGCCACCTGCCTGGCAAGCACAAGGACCTGAGTTCGATCTCCGGTACAAAAAAAGAGAAATAAATAAAATAAAGTATATGAGGGCTGGGGATTTAGCTCAGTGGTGCCGCACCTACCTCGCAAGTGCAAGGTCCTGAATTCGATCCCTGGTACCAAAAATAAATAAATAAATAAATAAATAAATAAAATAAAACAAAGTATATGGAGTATTTGCCTGGCATGGTGGCGCACACCTGTAATCCCAGCACTCAGGAGGCTGAGGCAGGAGGATCGCCGTGAGTTCAAGTCCAGCCTGGGCTACATAGTGAGCTCAAGGCCAGCCTGGACTACATAGCAAGACCCTGTCTTTACCATCCCCTATAAAAGTATATGGAGTTTTGGTGTGGATGCGCAGGGTGTAGGTCTTTGTGTGAAGTGTAAACATGGGGCAGACAGAAGTGTGAGTGTGGGCATGTGTGGTGTAGATGGGAGTAAATGTGGATAGAGAAGTGTGAGGAGAAGTATGGGAGAATTGTATGTGTGTACGGAAGGTGAGAGGAGTCTGTGTGGATGTGGAATGTATAGTGTGGGTATGTAGAAATGCGTATTGTGGAGCTAGGCATGGTGGCGCATGCCTGTAATTGCAGCTCTCCGGAGGCTGAGGCAGGAGGATCACCACAAGTTTGAGGCCAGCGTGGGCTACACAGTGAGTTCAAGGACAGCTTGAACCACATGGCGAGACTCTGTCTTCAAAAAAAAAAAAAATGTGTGTGGTAGAGACTATGTGTGAAGTGTATATGGAGTGGTGGGAGAGAATGTGTTCATGTACAAGGAGGTCTGTGGATGTGGATGGATATAAAACTATATGCATGTATGTTTTGTGAGTGAGAAATGCCTATATGTACAGGGGTGGACAGAGCAGGGGGTGTGTGGTCAGACGTGAGGGTACATTAGCATATAGACATGGAGTGGACTGGAAGGAATGTCTGTGTATGTATGTATATGGGGCTTTTTATATTGGGGATTTGAACCCACAGCCTCATGCATGCTACGCAAGTGCTCTTCCACTGACCTACATCCTTAAATCATTTTTATTTTATTTTGAGGCAGAGTCTCAGTAAGTTGCCCAAGAAGGCCTTGATTCTGCGATCCTTTTGCCTTGGCCTCCTGCATATCTGGGATCCCCATAGTATCCCCATAGTAGCACTGTATGGGGTATTTAGGAATTTGGAGCTGGGTGGATAGGAATGAAAATAAGACACTAGAAAATTAATGAACTCCACAAAACTCAGCCAAGCCCCCCTCCCCCCAAAAAAGCCTGGGAGACTTGGCTTGAAGTTTGAATTGGATTTCCAGTGGCATCTAATATGCCAAGATAGAACCTGGGGATATAAGAGGTGCCCGTAGCACTTGGGTCGTGGTCATAGGATAACAACATTTTCACTATGGTCATTAACATCAGCCGGAGAATACAAATAGCCGATTTTGAACTCCCTAGGATTCTTTCTTGCCCCTTGAGAAGCCAGCCTTCCCTTTAGGTACCTGCAGGGAACCATACCTAGCACCCCAACCCGATAGTTGAGGGTGATGACGATGACATTGCCATAACTGGCGAGGACGCTGCCATCAATCATGTTGCCTGTCCCTTCCATGTAAGAGCCTCCATGGATGTAGACCATGACGGGCTTAGCACCACTGTCCCGGATGTCTGCAAGGAGAAGGGGTGAGACACAGGCTGGATAGAATGCCCTTCCTCCCCCACCCCCACCAGCCCGGGGGGGGTGTGGGCAGCAAAGCTATCCCAGGTGCCAGGACACACCATCACCATTGTGGAGGGCAGGGCTCATGGGTTGTTTAGCCCAGAGCTCAAGCATGGGCCAGAGATAGTTGAACTTCGGTGATGTTTTCAAAGATTCAGATTTTTAATGCCTCCCAAATAAAGGTACCCTGGCATGCCAGGTACAGCTAGGCCTAGATGGGTTGTGGTCGGGCTTTGGTGGTGGGGTAGTAGGAAGAGGAAGGGCTTGTCTTTTAGCTGTATCCAACGAGTCCCTGCCCTGGGCATCCAGGAGTCCTGGGACCTGACATGGCTTTAGAGAGCAGGGGCTGGGGAGCCCTGAAACCCCCAAACTAGACCAGTTACATGGAAAAACAGCCACTGGCAGCTGCTGGCCCCCCAGTGCAGACAGAGACAAGAGGGGTGGGAATAAGATGTGGCACAGGGAGAGAACAAGGAAGGATGTGAGGAAAAAGTGAATGGCAGGGATGGGGTGGGAGGCATCTTATTGACATGGTTTTTCAGCCACATGCCCATTTACCCCACTCTCCCTGGGCAGACTTAACTGGAAACACTGGGGATGGGGCAGAACTAAGGAGAGCCTGCACCCTGTCACCATTAGATGAAAATGGAGCCCCCCGAGAGGCCATTCAACCAGGGCCCATCAAATGGCTTCTCCCAGGCCCACAGCATGGTGTCAGTCCTGGGGCAGTCAAGAAAAGGCTCCAGGCCTTACCGCCTCTGCCTGTAGCCTGTTGGGTTGTGAGCTGGACCAACACTCTCTGCCACACCACACAGTCCTACCCGTCACCAGTGGGTCCCTCTGAGCTGTCTGGCCCTTCCACTGGTGAAGGGACAGGACCAGGGTGCAGAGGTAGACTGGAATGCTCTCTGCTGCAGAACGAACGAACCTGTTACCCCAAGGAGGACGGCTGATCCGATCATTGCCCAGGGATCTTATGACATCTACTGACAACTGTGGTGTCCTGGCCTCAGCCTGGTGTGTTAGCCATAGTCTTTCTGGTCCTGCCCTGAACCTACTGCAGCCCCGAGCTCGGTGATCACCTCTCGCTTTCTGGGAGAAGACTGGGGATGTTCAAGCCCCTTTTGTTGTCTTGTTCCTCAGGAGCCATCCCGCTGGACCTCGCTCCCAGAATAGGCTCCCTGTGAGACGCAGGGCTCTCCTCCATGAATCACCAGTGTCTGCTCACCATCCAATGTCCTTTGTGTCACTCCTCAGCCTCCCCCTTGCTCACCATTCTCCCTGCTGCTCACAGAAGATGGGGGAGGGTGAAGGGCAGGGTGAGGAAGATGCCCTCCTCCTGGCTCTGCTTGTGGTCCCCTGCTCCTGCCAGCCGTGTCTATCACCCCGGAGCTCCCAGGGGCCAACGAGGCCAAAGACGGAGGCTCAGCAGCCTTGTACAGGAACAGAAACACACCAACGGACGGACAGACAGACAGACGGGGCTTCTCCCCATTGAGAAGGGGAGGGGCTCTGTGCCATGCACCAGCCGCCGCGCCCTGCAGCCCCCAAATACCTTCATCTTCATCCCCGTCATTATCCGCTAAGTCCTCGCCCTGTTTCTTAGCTCCGGATCCTGGGGACCAGACACGGGGAGACACAACAGCACAGAACAGAGAACAAAACAGAGAGAGAATTCAAAAACAGCATGACTGCAGTGTGGCCCAGCAAGCCAGCTCTGGGCCTGGGCCCAGGACAGGCAGGAGGGATGGCAAGAACTGAGGGAATGGGTGGGCTGAGGCCCAGACCTTAATCAGGATGATGGTGGCGCAGGCCTCTGCTGTGCTGGCCTCCCTGCACCTTCCTGCCCCGCCTCCCTGTCCCCAACAGCCCCTCTCAACCAACTCCCTTCCCAGATAGGAAGGGGGTCACAGCAGGTGGGCCAGGGCACAGAGCCAGAGACCCACTCAGGGAAGGATTCATTCTGGGAGGAAGGGGCTTCACATATGTACACAGGCATGTAGAGCTGGAGAGCAAGGGCAGGTACTGAAGATGAAGGTGACATTGCCAGCACTCATGGTTATCAATGTGTACCAGGGACACCAGGCCTGAGCTACCAGGGTCCAGCGGGCAGGCTCAAGCTGGGCCTCAGCTGACTCTGATTCCCACAGGAGAAAATGCAAGATGAAGCTTTCCCTCCGGCCTTGCTCACTGGGGTCCCCTGCCCTGGTTAATGGCAATGGGATTCCTGTGGGCAGTCTTGAGAGCAGCAAGCATTGCTCAGTGATGTAGAGAGAGCCAGAAGACGGAGGGAGGGACGGAGGGAAGAAAGCAAGAGAGAAAAGAGTAAAGGGAGAGAGAGAGAGAGGGAGGAAGAGGGAGGGAGGGAGAGAGAGAGGAAGAAGAAAACTGAGATAAAAATGATAATTAGTTCCTACCATATACTGAATATTTACCATGTGCCAGACACTCCACTACTTTTTGCCATATTGATTCCTACACCCCAATAAGATAGGTACTATCCTTATTCCTGTTTCGTTGATGGGGAAACTGTGGTTCAGAGAGGTAAAGTGACTTGCTTCACATCACACAGCCAGGAAATGCTACAGGCAAGATTCAAACCCAGGTCTGCTTGACTCCATAGCCTATGGTCTTTCCACTGCACCATGCCGCCTTTTGGAGATGAGGGAAAGGGAAGACATAGATGAGGAAAGAGGTGGAGTGTGGGAGGGGAGGGGAGGAGAGAAGATAAGAGACTAGAAGAGACCAGAAGGAAGAAGAGACATTTAAGACCTGGGTGGGCTGGCACCAATTCTCCTTCCTGTTCTAAGGAGACAAGAAGTGTGTCCTGGAATGAATGTGGAGAGAAAGGACTTACTGCCTGCATGCTGGCCAGTGTGTGGAAACTGAGGTATTTCTGCTGGTAGCCCAGGGTGTTCCCTCTTGTGTCTCTGATACAAAATACCCTTAATCTGCAGGAAGCAAATAGCCCTCGTTCTCAGCTAGTCTGGTCTGAGTTCTGGTGACTAGATTTCCTTATGGTTATTAATCAAAACAGAAACCATCTTCACATTATAAAATGGCTTTTCAGAAAGAAAAAAAAAAAGGCTTTTCAGGGCCAGGGATTTAGCTCAGTGGAACCATGCCCGCCTTGCAAGCACAAGGTCCTGAGTTCAATCCTGGCTGGAAAAAA